ATTTATTTATTTCAATTTATATAACTGTCCATCTCACATATGTGACTCTGGGCAGCTCACACAAATAACAAAAAACAATAAATAATTACAAATAAACAGCTAGAATAAAAAACATTAAATATCAATTAAAACAATTCAAACCATAAAACATAATCTCCAGGAAAGTGCAATCCATACATTACTAACAGTATAACCAACTCACAGACTCCTCCACCAGATCCCCAGCACAAAGACAAAACCATGTCTTCAGAGCTTTCCAAACAGCCAGCGGGGTCAGGGCCAGTCTCACCTCTGGAGAAAAGTGCAATCCATACATTACTAACAGTATAACCAACTCACAGACTCCATACCTCCACCAGATCCCCAGCACAAAGACAAAACCATGTCTTCAGAGCTTTCCAAACAACCAGCGGGGTCAGGGCCAGTCTCACCTCTGGAGAAATGATGTTCCAAAGGGTGGGTGTCATGCAAAAAAGACTCTCCTCCCGGGTCCCGTCAGATGACATTCCTTAATAGATGGAGCCTAGCATGACTCTCCTACCAGACATGATGGGATGGTAGATATGATTGAGGAGAGGCTGTCCCTCAAATAATCCAATCTCATGCCATGGAGGGCTTTATAAATCATTACCAGCACCTTGAATTGAACCAGGCAGCAAACTGGCAACCAATTCAGCTTGTGAAGCAGAGATTTAACATGCCCTGATTGAGGAACACACATAACTGCCTGCACTGCTACATTTTACACCAGCTGTAGCATCTGGATGCCCTTCAAGAACAGCCCTATATAGAGTGTGTTACAGAGGAGAATGTCATTTTAAAGCTTCCAGTTGGATATATTGGCCTTGTTTGGAAAGAAGAATCCATAGGATGCTTGGTCTGAGTTGGCTGGAGGTGGTGGCTTGTGGTACTTCACTGTATTAGATCTTTACTTTTGTTGCTATAAGTTTTATGTGTGCTAATTATTTTATTGATTAGTCTTCAATCTAGCCTGACAGTATATGTCAAAATGTTAGATTTGGAACAATTTGGCAAGACAATTTATTGTGCAGTTGCAGGAGAATAACCATAATACGTGGAGCTTCTGGGTGAGGCGTTATGGATGGTTAGACATCTCTGCAAGTGGCTCTGTAAGCAGAGATAGTACAGCAGTGGAATTGCCAGCCAGGAGATAGTTCTTGCTGATAGAAATTTCTCTGGAGGAAGGAAAAATTGGGAGATTACCCACTTGTGCTCTGGAAGAGCTTCTCCTTGTGAAGAGGCTATAGGAATTTAGTTTCTTGTGGTCGATTGTAGGTCACGTGGCTTGGGAGTCAGATTTACAAAATGCCCTAAATTGCTGTGCAGCCTTTATGGACATTTGACTGGCAAAAGCGTCATCTTCTTAACCACTTTACAATTTAATTGATTTACAACCTAAGAGAGATATTCCAAATGGCAGTGAAGATCCAAAACTCTTGGTGAGTGCCATCTTTCTGAAATTAAGAAGAGGAGTAAAAAAGAAAACCCTGTATCTTAAAGGATTCTAATTTGAAAGAAAAAAGCTTTACAAGATTGTGATATAAGAAAGTTTCAAGCGGACAAGGGGGACAGTGATTTTAAAAATTGGAATAAATAATTTTTTCTGATGAAAGTGCCTTTGAAAATAGTAAAATTAATTGATTAACAGACCGGACTCACACGGGAATATTGATTGTTTATTTTTAAGGACAGTAATAATTGGTGGATTTTACAAAACAAGAAGATAAGAGTAATATGAGTCAAACTGTATGACTGTGACTATGGAGAGCCAATTGGGACTAAAGTGTTAAAAATAGAGAGAAACAATGCAGAAGAAAGAAAAGAAAAGAAAATAAAGATGCCCTTTATTTTCACTGTAGTAATCAACATTATTTCACTTTCTCACCCTGGAAGGCCCAAGGAAAGCTGCCATACTGGGGGAAGCATGCAAAAGTTCACTAGAACAAATTACAGATAAGGGTATTTCACCAGATTCATTGCAGAAAATGTTTGAAGACTTTCACAAGAAGATGACTGCAACAGTTAAAAAGGAAGTGGAAGAAGGATTTGCAGGGATGAAAAAAGATCTGAAAGAAGAAAATTGAAGAATGTGTAGTGCAACTGGCTGCAGACTTAAAACAAATTACTGACAAAGTGAATGTTTTGAAAAATAAGACAGAAGTTATAAATAGAGAGATAGAGAAGAATTTGGACAATTTGGCATTATTGGAACTGAAAGAAAAAAATATCTGCTTATGATTTGGAGCAATTCCAGAAGAAAATGGAGAGGATATCATAGAAAAGTTTGTTAAGTCTCTGTCTGATTTCCTGGATCGGGAGGAAGATGATTCTGATACAGAGACTGGTAAGGTCTATAGGATCAATACACATTTTGCAAAATTAAGAAATGTTCCAAGGGATGGACTTGTGTACTATGTCTGGAAGAAGGCAAGAGACCAAGTTCTTCAGCAGTATTTTAATACTAGGATTGACAATACAGATGTAATTGTACTTAGTTTGAAATCCCAGTTTGAATACTACACAAGAGAAAAGAGTACCAAAACCCTTTTCAGATCATAATCCAGTGACTTTAATTTTTAAAAGGAAAAATGGGTCTTTTAGGTGGAGATTGAATGAGATGTTATTATAAAAAGAAATGGTAGGGAGGATTGTAAAAAGAAGTTAAAGGAAGTTTTTGAGAATAATCTTAATAAAGGTACAGAAGTAAGGATGGCTTGGGATGCAAGTAAAGCTTTTGTAAGAGGGTATTTTATACAACATAATAGAGAACTTAAAAAGAAAAGGCAAGATAAAATGCAAATGTTTCCAGATGAGATTTAAAAAAAGGAAAAAGAGTTTAAAAAAATATCCAGGGATGATAACTAGAACTCACCAAATTAAGCTTTTACAGAGGCAATTATCTGTATTTTGAAAATGAGCTTTTACAACATTTACAACAAACAATGAATATTATTTTGCAGAATGAAAAGATTCCTGATAGTTGGAAGGAGGCTAACATAGCATTAATACCTAAAGAGGGACAAGAGTTGACTTTAACAAGAAACTATCAGCCAATATCTTTGATATTGATTGGAATAATGATTACAAACTATTTACCATGATTCTGGCTGAAAGCTTGAAAATAATTTTACAGGATTTTATCCATGAAGTTCAATGTGGTTTTTACCTAAAAGACAACTATGAGATAATATTAGAAATGTTTGAATATTCTGGAATACTTGGAGCAACATAATGAAAAACAAGCTACATTGATATTCTTAGATGCAGAGAAGGCCTTTGACAATTTGAATTGGATTTTTTTGTTCAGTCTTATGAAACATATAAACCTTGGAGATAATTTTATTAAATGGGTAAGGTCGATTTATACTTCTCAGAAAGCACAAATAATTGTTAATGGATTCAAAAAGGGACAATTCAAGGATGTCCACTGTCTCCATTTTTGTTCATTTTGGTTCTTGAGGTATTGAATGAAGACAGACAAGATCAGAGAATTATAGGAGTTAAGATTAAAAAAGAAATTTATAAGCTAAGGGCATTTGTGGATGAACTGGTATTAATTTTAGAAGATCCACTAAAGGGAGTAGAAGCATTAATTGGAAAATTAAAGGACTTTGGTATATTAGCAGGTTTCAAGATTAATAATCATAAGACAAAGATGTTAACAAAAATATGAAGTTAGAAGATCAAATAAACTGATGGAGAAAACTGGTTTTAAGATTGAGAAAAAAGTAAAATACTTGGGCATTACTATGACAAATATGAATTATATGTTATTTCACAATAATTAAGTTAAGGCATGGATTGAAATTAAGAAGGACATGTTAAGATGGGAGAAATTAAAATTGTCACTATTGGGAAGAATTTCTGTGATAAAAATGAATATTGTGCCAATAATGATGTTTTTGTTTCAGACAATACTTGTTTTGACAATGGATGTACCATTTAAAGAATGGCAAAAAGGCATATCTAAATTTATATGGCAAGGGAAAAAACACGAGTGAAATATAAAGATACAAAGGAAAGAGGAGGACTGGGTTTACAAGATTTGAAATTGTATTTTGCAGCTTGTTGTTTGTTCTGGATGAAAAAATGGGTATTGCTGAGAAACAAGAGACTTTTATAGTTAGAAGGTCGTGATCTGAGGCTTTGATGGCATGGATATTTATGATATGATAAAGTTAAAATTAATGTGGACTTTAAAAATCATTTTATTAGACATGCCATATTGAGAATGTGGAATAGATATAAACCTAGATTGTGCCCAAAAACACCTTTATGGATCTCAGCTCAAGAAGCATATTATAGAAGAGAAATTGCTGATAAAGATAAATGGTTGATGTACTGGGACTTAATGGAATACTCTCAGGGGAAATTTAAAATCAAATCAAGAGAACAATTAATATACGAAGGATATATTTGTCAATGGTTTTCTCATTTACAGTTATTTGAAAGATTTAAAATTAATAAAAAGACATGGTATGGAGCAAAGTCAGTCAGAATTTTATATACAATTTTGTACTGATGAACATGTAATTGCTAAAATGTAAAAACTTTTGTTGATATTTGAAACAGAGGAAGAACAGGTTAAAGAATGTATGATAAAGTGGGCTAAGAATTTTGGTTGTAATATACAGATGGATGAATGGGAAAATATGCAGTTAAAAGGGTTGAAATTTACATTGTGTTATGATCTCAAAGAGAATTTTTATAAAATGATGTATTGTTGGTACACGATGCCAGAGAAATTATCTAGAATGTATAAAGGCACTTCAAATGTATGCTGGAAATGTGAACAGCATGAAGGGACATTTTATCATGCTTGGTAGACATGTAAAAAAGCTAAAAAAAATTGGATTCATATACATACTTTGATACATGGGATTTTAAAGATCAATATTCAATTGAAGTTGGAACTTTTCCCTTTTAGGATTAATGGATAAACAGAAAAAAGCCATGGAAGATTATTCTAATATATGATTACTGCAGCAAGATTTCTACATGCACAAGGATATAAAGATTCAATACTACCCACTATGGAGGAATGGTTGGTGAAAGTGACAGATTTTGCTGAAATGAATAAATTGACTTCATTGATTAGAGAAGACACTATCTATGTTTATTGGTGACTGGAAGCCTCTTACAGACTTTTTCATTTGTAAAAATGAAAAAAATGAGCTTGTAATTTATGGTTTTGATGATTAGACAGGATAAATTATAGGAAGAAGAGTAATGTTCTAATGTTAATGATGTAACTTTAGAGAAAGAGATTAAAGTATATTTTTACTTATAATTGCTGTGAAGAATATTGGAAGGGACTTCTTTATATCTTTTTTCTTTTCTTTTTTCAACTTTTTTTTTCTTTTCTTGCACTTTTTGCTTTTTCTTTGATTTTTTTCTTCCTTATTTTATATT